ACTAAAATATGCAATACACATGTTTCTATGTTTAACTCAAATTCTCTACACTCAACGAAGTCTTTTTTTTTTCTTTCTAAAGGTCCGATGGTCCAATGACATGAATAATATAGTAGTATCAAATCCAAAACCAATTTAGAGGCCTGATAAAAAATGACTACATTTTGAAAACATGCGTCTCACACGAATCCATTAAATGAGTATGCAAAGTTCATCTCTTAAAATTTTATCTTACATGGTAACTTATACCAAAAAGTGGTAATGAATACTAAAAACCATGTAACTTATACCAAAAAGTGGTAATGAATACTAAAAACGAGATTAAATCCCAAAGATGTTCAAGAATCACTCAAGTCAACCCATCCTAAGTGATATGCATATATAGGGTGCCTAAACCATTTTCCACGTCGAGTTCAACATTTCTCCAAGTGAAATAATCTTTAAAAATAGATTATATGCATGCAACAAGTTGCATGTAATAGCCATTTAGCATTCAAGAGTATTATTCTATAGAAATAAATCAAACATATTACAAATGACTAGGATAAGGACATGTATTATTGGTATTTAATCACCTTTACACTTCAAGCTTCTTATAACCACCTTACTCCACCCAAAATGTTGTATAAACACTTTCTAACTACCTATGGTAAATAATTAAACAATTTATCTAGAACTAATTATATAAATCAAGTTCTAAACAAAGTTTATAACCATATTCAACTCATCCAATCATTGCATAACATTAAGGAAGTATTAAGGAAGGTATGGGATCAATTTGAGTCAATATGGACTTGTTTGAAAATTTCATGTGATCCAAAAGGGAACACCTCCCATGTGGTGTCCAAGCCTTGCCATTTCGTGGTTATTGACTAATTTGGGTAGTGTACTTTGGCGCATTTGTTCTCAAACCTTCATAACGACTTTCACATGTGTAATAAGTCTTGAAAATGCATTTTATTACTATAATGTACCTTATTTCATTAATAATTTGATGTTTTAAAAGTCTTAATGCTTAAGAAATTGAATGAACTTGATAGAAATCATCAAACTCCCAACTTAAGCATTAAGCTTCATTTAATCTCATAGATTTATCTAGGTTGATTCTATTCTCTTAATAACTTAAATGGTATCATTAACATGTTATTAACCCCTTTGAAAACATAATTATACATAGATTTATGATTCAAGTGTGATGTTCTAATAATTTGAACAATATAAGTTTGATTAAATTCCATATAAATCATTTAAAACTTCAAATTCTCACCGATCCTTTTAAACATAGATAATAACCAACTGAGCTTTTATTTGATTTAGTCAATTAAACTTATAGCATTTCAATAAATTTTAATAGATCAAAAGCTAGGTTATGTCATAAGTCAAGCTTGAATCACCATTGAAGCCCTAAGTAAAGTTTTGAAAACAAGAATGCAAAACAAATAACCAAAATAACTCTTTGATTAATTGGAAAATCACTCAAAACCAATGTTTTACAATTTGTTCTCATAATCATAAACTCGATTATAGATAGGTATATATATAGCCTAACAAACCAACTTGTATTAGACTATGAAACTTATGACCAACTTGCCATAAACTAAACTTTTCATAAATTAGATTGCTTGGACCCCAAGACTTATAATTTCAACAATCACCCTCGAATCTCTAAGTTCTTCTAGAGAATTCTTCAACCCGATCCGTATTTAAAAAACGGATTCGTCACTGTCATCAGGTTCCGAAAAATCACCGTCTTGTAATTTTTGGAGTCGTTCCGGACATTCAGAAGCAAAGTGACCCGGTTTGTCACACCGAAAACAAATCACCTTAGATCGATCCTTTTCCCTATTTTTCCGATTCTTGCCACAACAACAATTACAATTTTTGCAATCAGAATTATAATTGGACAGTTTATTGGGCCGATTGCTTTGAGAAACCCTATTATTCCCTTTGGGCCCGCCTGATCCGCATGACCCGGTTAACCCACTAGATCCGGATCCACTTGACCCGCCAGTCCCATTAAACCCATTCGCTTTATTAGACCCATTCGATCCTTTCCAGTTTCCCTTCGTTCCCGATGAGTTACCCCACCAGTCGACGACCCACCTCCATCTCCGGTCGATTTTTCGGCAAATAGAACCCTCGATTGTCCTTCTCCAGCATCGACTTCCCTTATTCTTTCTTCATATGCCTTCAATCGACCCACTACGTCTTCAAACCTTACCGATTTTAAATCTAGTACCTGTTCAAGAGATGCAACGATGTGAATGAAGTTTCTGGGTAATGATTTGAGGAATTTCTGCACCAATTTTGATTCCTCAATCGTTTCTCCTAATGCCGACGATGTAGACGTGATTCCGGACAGCTTTCCGGCAAAGCTGTCGATTGTTTCTGACTCGAGCATCTTCAGGCGATCGAATTCCGACATCAAGGTTTGTAATCTCGCTTCTTGGACTCTATCTGCGCCCACATTACGTGCTCTAATCGCATCCCACAATTTCTTGGCCGAATCCTGATCTCCAATCTGCATTATGAGATTTTCTGGTAGAGCTTGATATAGCAAACCCATGGCAAGGTAGTCCTTTTCTTCATTGACATCGGTTCTTGGATCAATCACAGTCCAGGCTTTGTGGATGCGTAAGACAACCTTCATACGCATTGCCCACACGATGTAGTTAGTGGATGTGAGCATCGGACACGAAACTGAGGTTGTCCCAACCTCCTTCACTCTCACCGGAGCTTCTCCTTCTCTCCCTGTATCTGTCATGTTGACCTGACTCGTCAACAGGTACAAATCGATCTCACAGCTTCTCAACCTAAGCTCTGATACCAATTAAAGTTTTGAAAACAAGAATGCAAAACAAATAACCAAAATAACTCTTTGATTAATTGGAAAATCACTCAAAACCAATGTTTTACAATTTGTTCTCATAATCATAAACTCGATTATAGATAGGTATATATATAGCCTAACAAACCAACTTGTATTAGACTAGGAAACTTATGACCAACTTGCCATAAACTAAACTTTCCATAAATTAGATTGCTTGGACCCCAAGACTTAGAATTCCAACACTAAGTCAAAGTGAAAGTCTCAAATCAAATCCATAAGTATAATTACCAACATATGGTGGATTGCTTACTTGAAATAGAGTTTTAAAACATCAAAATTAGGTTAAAGTTAACATTATTTCATGATAGTTTTTAAAATTGGATTTTTACCATTGTTAAAGCTTTGAAGCTTTCAAAATGGCATTTATACTCAAAAATCAAACTATGAATGAGAAGAATAAAAGTAAGTTGGTGATCTAATGACTAAAACTAACCTAAATCATTAGTAAATTATCCCTAACGTTTAAATATTTAGATTTCTCCATACATTGAATCGATTTTAAGATAAGGATAACGAAGAGTTACACCTTCTTAATGTTTCTAGCTTAAATCTAACACCAACTCTTCAATCTCCACTTCAAATCCCTCTCAAATTCTCAAAATCAACATGGATTCTCCCTTCCCTCTCTCAATCTCGTTTAATCCAAATGGAGACGGGGAGAATGTGATTAGCTTTTAACTTATGCAATTTATCAACTATTACCCCTCAACTTTTTATTCTCACTTTGACCACTAATAGACACCACAACTAGTCTCTCATATATTTACATATCTAATAATGTTTCTATCGTTTGGTCGACAAGAGGTTAATTTGTTAAGTCTTAGTCAAATACTAAGAGGGTGTTTGGTTTAAATTCTAAAATGACTTTTGACTTTTTCTTTTAGAAAAAAGTCAAAAAGATGTTTGGGAAGATGAAAATGACTTTTCTAATAGAGTAAATTTGGTCTTATTGAAAAGTCACGAAATCATGACTTTTCTAACTTTTCAACAGGGTTAAACATTAAAATTACTTTTATATCTCCATCTAACCCCAATAAATATGTAAACATGTCATTTTTAGTCATTTTGCATGTAAAAATTAAACCAAACACTTTAACTTTTGATTTTTTCCCTTCAAAAGCTAATCCAAACACATTTTAAAAAACAACTTTTGTAAAAAAACTTTTTGAATCATTTTACAAAAAGAACTTTTGCCCCACAAAAGCTAAGCCAAACACCCTCTAAGTTTTTTCTTACTTTACCAAATTAACCCTATTTTTACCAAATTGGTTATTTAACCTTATTAAATTATGAATTTCTCCTTTCAAACTAATAAATAAAATATTTTATTATTATTTTCTGTTTATTTCACTATTTTATTTGTTATTTAATAATTAATCGAACAAAGTTTAAATTTAGTCTTAAAATGAGGATGTTACGTAGGTTCCACGATGAATATTTCTCTTTTGTTTATATCAAATTCGTTTCATTCCTTTGTTTAGAAACAAAGCATAAATCTTTTCTATATGAGGCCTCAGTGTAATGTTTAATTTTCTCATGAATTTACAATCAATTAGTGAAGCTTAAAAACAAGTTCATTATAACCACTGGTGCTTCGAAGTTGAGGTACGTTACAGATATCTTCACTTGACGTGTAGTAAATTGCCTCACAAAAACTTACAAATTAGTTCATTGAAGGCATATGAAAAGTTAATTTAACTACCATTAACAAAGTGTTTGGAAGTGTTGTAAAAGTATTTTCTGGTAACTAACAAAAGTGATTGTAGTTTATCATTTTGTGATGTTTTAGCATCAAACTAATCATAAGCTACAGTTAAAATGTTGTAGTAAAAATGTTGATTTTTAAAATAAACTATAACATCCCTAATAAAGGTAGCAATCTCAACATGTACGTTAAAACAAGTGAATATATTTTGTATTTTATTGATAATGAATCAAACAATTTTAAATATAAAAAAAATACTCAAATGGGTTGAACAAGTCAAAAGTCACCTAAAGTACATATTCAAATGCTTATAGCATCCTAAATCATTGTATTTTTGTTTTAAATAGATTATTAATTGAATAATCAATCTAACTATTCAATGTTATCCAAAAACAATTTTTTTAAATGGTAATAGGTTAGATTTTTAAAAATATAATTTCATAATATGAATAAAACAGAAAATACAACGTTATAATTTGATAACTTTTCAAAATACAATTTTTTGATAAAAAAAACACCGAAAATACATTGATTTAACAATAGTAAAAAAAAACAAATAGCATATAGCTTTTAAATTTATCATCAGTAATTTCTTTTATAAATAAAATATATGTTGATAATAAATAATTATTTTAGAAAATAATAAATTCTGTTGTAAAAATTTACAAAAAGAAACAAATAAATTTGGGTAAAAGCCAAAGCATTCCACGTTTTAGAACTGTTTCTTCCTCCTGCCGGCGGCATCATGTGTGCTCAACTACCGGAGCTCACAACCCCTCAGCCTTCAACCCTCAAAAATCAATAATCAAAACGCTTAATTTCACCTGAAAACTGCTCCTTCGTCGGAGGTTCCACGATTTTCATCTCGTAAAGGTCAGATTTCCCCCCTTCCCTCACTTGCTATTCTTAGTAATATCGTCTCCACTTTGATTTCTTACGCTTCTATGTTTTCCGTGCAATTTGATTGGCATTCTCGACATGCATTCTTGTTTTTCTTCTTCTATTCATGTTAATTAATCATTACCGAGGCATTTGTTTTCTAATTATTCGTTTTTTTATGAGAGATTGTGGTTTTCGGGAAATTTCCATGCCCTTACAATTGAACTTGTGAGATTCTAATGCAGTGAGTCGATGATTTTTTTACAAAATAAAAATGTTAATTACGTTTGATTATACTAATACCTCTCTCAATTCGTTAAGATGTTTTGGGCTCAAGTTGATTCATTTCCATATTGAAATTGGATACGGATTCTTCCAAAATCTATCGAACTTTATATCATATCCTACAAGTGGAATAAGCTTAATGTTGATTTCGGGACAGAATCTGTACCAATTTTGAATTCAGAAACGAACAGCTTTGACCTCCATAACACATATTAACAGCTCCAATTCTTTTGGATTTGGTTTTTAATCTGCTGCAACTACTTTGGGGATCTCAATCTGGTGATTTTTTCGTTGTAGTTGTTCTTCAAGTAATGGAGGGCTCACTCCCAGTTAGAGAATACCTCATCGACATGGGAGCAGACATGGATGACAAATCAAGCGGAAGAACACCAACAGATGATCAATTCTTCCTCTTATATTTCATCATGGGCACCTATTTTGGCCCTGATCTCAAGGGAGAATCACACAAATCTGTTTTCCAAAGACGTGCAGAGGGTCTTCCACCATATCCTCCACAAAAACTAGCAGGTTCTTGCATGAAAACAGTTGAAGTAGAAAGAATCTACTACTATGTACTCAGAAAAGCCGATCAATCTGTCACATTAAAACTACCATTGCTGCAAGAATTCTTTCACGGGAGGAATCATCTCTCAACCTCCTCCAGAACCCCATCTCCACCTTTCCCACAGTTTGATGATCTTTTTCCCCCCGAATTACATCCACATTCAATCATCAAAGGTCAGTATGAAGCCATTAACAACATTGTATTCATTAGTGACCCCAAAATCCTTTACATTGGGCAAGAGTATCTTGAAAGGTTCAAAAGGTTGACTAGACTAGAAGATGTCTGTTTGGATAGAGATGATGCTAGGCGTCATACAACCGTTGATGGGAAAGTTTTATACAACATAGATGTACAAGAAATCGAATATCATCAAGACTTAAAGAAACCATCATCTTCTAGTGGTCAAGAAGATGAAAAAATTCCTTCAAGTCCTCTACTGAAGCAAAAAGGTTCTTTCAATGGTGTAGCTACAAACAATGGCACAACACCAACACCATCTATATTTGGTTCTGATGATTACGTGTCACCTGGAATGAAAACAAATTCCTTGGCTGATCTTGGATCAGACATGATCTTTTTTTCATCTTATCCCACTAGGGAAGAATGGCATAGAATCTTGAATTTTACCAAAAGTGGATTTGCTTTGAGTGGAAGTGCTACAATGGGTCGAATTGGGCCAAGTATTGGAAGCATTGACATTGGGGAATGTGAAGACTCCTACCTTTTTCGTGTCTCTCTTCCTGGGGTCAAAAGGGATGAAAGTAAGTTACTTTTTTTTTCTTTTTTTTTTTTTTAAAAAAAGGTATCACCTTTTCATCATAATCTCTAAATCTTGAAAGTAGGATGCTAAAACATGGATATTTGATGGGTGTAGGAGAATTCAGTTGTGAGGTTGAAGATGATGGGAAAGTATTGGTAAGAGGGGTAACAGTAACTGGTGAAAAAAGTGTGTGTAGATTTGATCAAATATTTGAAATGCAGACACACAAACTTTGTCCTCCAGGTCACTTTTCAGTTTCATTTAAGCTTCCAGGTCCTGTTGATCCTCAACAATTTTCTGGGAATTTTGGAACTGATGGAATTCTTGAAGGAATAGTCATGAAAGCTCGTAGAAAGATGAAAAGATGATTAAGAATCAAGAATTAAGATCTTTCATTTTGATGCATTTACATACAGGTATGTTGTTTATGTATTGCATCTTGCTTTGATGATGATGATGGGGTTAGGTTTTGGTTTTGGTTTTTGCTTTTTTTAAAGGTTGTATGGGTGTTTATGAGTAGATAATTTGGGATAATATAAACTTGGGATATATAAAATTATATTTTCTGAATATAGAATTATCTGTGTCTTGATTTATTATTGAAAAATACACATTTGTTAATGATGAGTCTTGGAACCATGACATTGATTTTGATTTGGGTGTTATTGTTGTTGTTCCTTTTGATTTGGGTGTTATCATGGCATTAATAATGTGTCATTTTATATATAAAAGTTAAATTAGGTTTGATGATCTGATTGTATTTGTTATAATAATTAATTACTTAATCTTTTTTAAACAATGTACCGTATAATTTAAATAGTTTTGTATAGTTATTATGAATATTATGATTGCAAAACGTTATGAATAAACAGAAGGGAATAAACGTAAACAAAACCTAAACTATATTACCCTTATAAATCATTCACCCAAGAAAAAATGGATGGAACGCGTACTTTTAGATATACTTCATGGACCATGATTAAATATAAAAACATACATATTTTTTTCGTCAACATTGTATTATAATTTTTTAGCAAAAAAAGAGGCTAAAAGTTGTTGGCTCGTGATGTACAAATATTAGCCCAAAGTCCCCAACATTAGTTTAAAGCCATGAACTCAAATCTAGGCATATTAAGTCCAATCAAGCTTACTTTAGAGCTACTCAATATATAGTAGTACTCTAATCTAGACATGCTTTCTGAACTGGTCTTGGATTGATCAGATAAAGGTTGACCAAACCAATGATGCGTAACTGAAATTGGTGTGAGAAGTCAGTGTGAATTGGTCGAACCCGGTTTGGAACCAGAAGACAAAAATGAAGTAGAAACAATAAAATATATGTTAAAAAAAATCATGTCATTCTAACTTCAAACGAATGAGTTATGTCAACTTAAAAAAGAGGGGTAGATTGTGCATAACACTAAAACAGAAAACAATTCAGCTTTGATACCATGTTTTATGGGGCCTATAACTCAATCAATATGTAACCAAATAATGTGTTTCTATAGTCTAAAATGAAGTACAAATATTAAACTACATGTTGAAAAAAATGTTATTCCTACTTCAAACGAAGAAGTTATGCTAGTTTAAAAAAGATGGGTAGATTGTACATAATGTTGAAATATAAAACAAATAAGCTTTAATATTCTATGTTTCGGGGATTGTAACTTACTTAATCTATAACCAAATAAGGTGTTTATATACTCTAAAATGAAGTACACACTCTAGACTACGGATCGAAAAAAAAATCATGTCATTCTAACTTTAAATGCAAGAGTTGTGACAGTTTAAAGAAGATGAAAGATCCAGCGGGATCGGACTCAAACTTAAACACCTCTCGTACGGGTTAGTAGACGTATAGTTTATAGGCATAGAGGACAACCAGAACTGGTAGGTCATAAAGATATAATGTAAACAATTCAAAAAAATTATATGGATGTAATGTGAACAGTCCAAACAAACTCAATAGTAACATGTTGATAAAAAGAACCTAAAAGATTAAATATGAACAAAACCTAAAGGATGTTATCTATACCAACCAGTGATAAAAATATAATGTATGCAGTCGAAACAAATTCAATGATAATATATGGACAAAAAAACTTAAAAGACTAAATATGAACAAAACATAACTTATGTTACCCTTATAATTACTTAACTCTTTTATTAATTATTTACATTCATGGTAATTATGTTTGGGGCTCTTCATTTTGTTACAACCTGCTATAATCATTATTTGAATGATTTAACATTTGTATGTATGCCTTGCTACTTTGGCATTTTCACCTCTTTTACCATTCCCCCATTCCCGTATACAATAATACAAATGCCGAATGTTATTTATTTGATGTATTTATGTGACACATCACTGTACAAACTATCTCATAATAAATATATAATTGTCGAAATTTATCTCTTCTTTCCTATTCTAATGAGATTTATGGGATATGTTGTTATTGTTGTTGATCATTCAGAACATTGGTAACATTGTTATAATTATTACAACTATTATATTGTAAGCGCTATTAATTAATTAATACATTTATTTATCAATCTTGTTTATTTATTTTAATAAATTACTCTTATTTGAATTTATTCATGATATGCATGTTCCTGGTGTTTTTCATGTTCAACAATCACCATCACCATCACCATGATCACGCGTCAACAACCACCACACAAACTTCACAAATGTTACGTTTTTCATGTTATTGATGCTAATATGCAAAAAAAATTCAAGAAATTTAAGACTCCAAAGACAATAACTTTAAGAAAAACAAAATTTAATGTAAAAACTATAACCCAAACACGATCAAACAAACTTTCACTACCACAAATCATAATGAACGAATTGATTACCAAAATAAAATCTCAATCACCACATCAAAAACAAACCAAGTACAATCTCAAAACCAATTGTTGTTTATATCCTCATTGTTAAAAAAAAAAAAAAAAAAAAAAAACAGCAAAATTGAGCTCCAAGAAAATCATGAAGAAGCATCTTTACTTGAAAATTAAAGAATATGTGAAAGAAGCATCTTTACTTGATCTTCATAGAGCTCTACGACCTCTTTGTCGTCTTCTTGAAATCCCCATTGCCTTAAAACCTTTAACAAACCTCTGCAATTCATCTTTCTTGTGTAGTGACATACCCACAACAGCAGCACCACTGCAAAAACCTAACACCCATTCAGGAACACATCCATTGCGAAGCAACACCAAGAGCATTGACAAACACAGCGCACCTAACAATACATCGCTCTTTAATTCCAATTCTCCACCCAAAATCAATGCCCAAAACCCTAAACAGCAAAATGTTGCAAACCCCCAAAACCAAAACTGTGATTTCCGGTTAACCCTCCTTTTTCTCCCACCACCGCCGTCGAATCCTCCCCACCCGAATCCCTTCCACGAGCCGCCTGACCCACCGCTGCCTGACCCGCCTCCGAATTCCCTCATCACGGAATTCAATGGCTCTGGTAAGACGTAATGGAGATTCGATGCCGCGAAACGGACAAATTGAATTAGGGTTTTTCTGGATCGTTGAGATCCGAAGAGCCCTTTATTGCTGCTCCTTGCACATGTGATTATAGGTTTATGGGAGTGAAATCTATTCGGATGTACATAGGGACAACAGGTTTTCAAAGATAAAGAGTTCTTTGGAGAAATTGGATCAAAAATGAAGGAATTTGGGAGGAGAAATTGATGAGACTGCGTCATAGCTGTCATCGATTCTTGAGAGGAATGTTAAGTATTTTGAATTTTGATTGATTTCTGTGAGCAAAATGCCATCATTTGTGGCCCTCGCTGCTCTGGGAAGGAAAGGTTGAATTTCAATGATTAAGGCTCCAAAACGCCAGTTGCACATATATGCTTTAATGCTTGTGGCGGTTGTAAATTTGAGGGGTTTTAAGTAAAGAATGTTTGTGGTTTTATTTTTCACAAAAATATTAAATTAACTATTTTTAAATAGGTATTATAAATTTTTTTATTTATTTCGTATACATGGTATTCACAAAATTTCATTAAAATTATTTTTCTAACGAAAAAATTATTCGCACACACTTTGCAAAATCATCTCTTTTCTCGTAACAAAATCACTTTTAACAAATTTTTAACTCCACTACCAACATATATTCGGCCCGGTACCTTCATTCGTAGTTAAACACTAGTTAAATTATATTTGGTAATTAATATATTTTCCAACTAGTTTATCATCTGAGAACTACGGTCCACGGTTATACAATTAATTAACTTTTTAAATTAAAAATTAAAAATTATTAATCAATTATTTTAAATAAATTATTAATTAAAAGATTTTTTTAGGTATATAAATTGTAATCATTGATTTAAATAAATATGTAAAACTATATCATTTTATAATTTGTATTAAGTTTATTTAAATATTTATTATAATGTTATTAATTTAATGTAATTAGAGTGGTAAATTTAAAATTTGAAATTTGAAATTTGAAATTTGAAATTTGAAATGGATAATTAATAGGTTTACAAATGACATGTATTAATTATGAGATATAATATGGTGATATATGGCAAAAGAAGAATAATATATGCATTAATTAAGAGGCCTAATAAGATGATACATGTCAAAATGAGAATAAAACTATTCTTTTATTAGATAGGGAGATTTGAAATTAACGTTGCTAAAATGATACATATTCGGTCTCCATATCTGCATTTACAGTTGAACATTAGTCAAATTATATTCAGTATTGTCGACGATTATGTGCGGTATCGAAGGCTATATTATGTGCGGTATAGAAGGCTATAGTATTTAGTTCCCATAACCTTATGCTTGGTATCCACAAATTTAAATTCTATCAATTGACTTTTCAAAAATACAAAAAAAAAGTGTTTTTTATGATAAATATTTTTGATTAATAAAAAATTGTTCACACTTATGTTCGGTAAAATCTAACGACGATGTTGTTGCAAAACTGGAATATTTTTTGTCGATGATTGTGTACAATGTCGAACAATATAATATTCATTTATCATAACCTTATGTTCGATATCAAGAATTTCAACTTCTATGGGTTGTCATTTTATGAAAGAAAATATTTTTTTGTGATAATTGTTATTGATTCAACGAAAATCGTTCATAGTTTATAGCTATTATTAACAGAAAATAAGAAAAAATCAAAAAGTTATGAATAAAATAAACATCTATTACATCAATTGTTTGATTACAAAAATCTTTTCATGTTCAAAAAAAAATCAACTAAAATCTTTCCCTCCGTAATCTAGTTTTCAATGGACAGAAGAACATCCAACAAAACCCTCATGGTCTGCAAATATTTGTCCTTAGCAACGATGATCAACTCTTTTAATCACAAATGCTTAAGTGACTTGAAAAATCTTTGATTTCCTCCAACATTTTATCCATCGGTTTATAGTCTTTACTAACGTCTTTAAAAACCTTCATTACCTTCTCTTTTGACATTTTTTTTCGTTATTGAGAGCAATTTGTAGCACATTTTAAATGTTGGTCAATTTGTCGAGAACATAGATTATTTTTTGGAACCTAAATGTCACTGAGAAAGTAATCAAATTAGATAAGGTTAATGTAAAGATAAAAACTACAAAGATGACAAAGATATATGGAAAGGTATATCAACTTTTTCAAATGATAAAGAATATCGTAACACATTTGGCAATTGAAAAGCCTCAATGTTATCATCACTATTTTTTAGGATAATAACATGGTATTATTTGTATTTTTACTTGAATATTTTAAAAAACCATAATAATAAGCAAAATGTATCACCATCTTAAACGACAAATACTCATCATCATTTTTATCATAACGCGGCTTGACAGCTGAAAAAGCTCGATGTATTGACGACTACTCTTTAAAATAATAACATTGGATGATGTATAGATTTTGTTTAGATTTGTTTAAATCACAGAATATTACCATGAAAGAACTTGAAAACATATGGATCATTCATATAATTTAGAAATAATTGGTTAATGCAGAATCTATTAAAAACTAACGAAAGTGATTTAATTGACATGTATAGATATATAGTATAAGTTAGATTGTCTATTGCGTAAAAAATGTAAAAATGGACCAAACACCTAAGTTGATTGTGCTACAGTGATATTTTTTCGTTAATAATAAATGATTGATTTGTTTGCGATCACAGTCTACTAAACCTTAACCGAACCGGTCTGATCGGTTAAAAGTTAGATATTAAATAAAACTGCAAAAATGATCCATATGGTATGCATTTTTATGGGTTTTGATCCAAACCCGATTTTTTTTGGATTGGTGGTCATTTTGGCAATGTTTGTGTGTGGAAAAGGTCCATCTCCAACTTAAAAAGACTAAAATATCCTTATTCCTTTTTTTAATATTTAAAAAATATAAAAATAAATTGCTCTCTCTCTCTCTCTCTCCAACTCTCTCTCTCTCTCTCTCTCTCACACACACACACACCTACCCCATCCCATCACCATTTCCTTTAACTGCATCAAGATACAAACCCACAAAAGGGAGAAAATCGAAGCAACCATAATCGACCACACGATAACAATTGTAGAGCTCGATCAGAACAGTAACTGGTGGGATGAGAAGTGTCGATTCTGGTGTGATGCGTGTGTGGAAGAGGAAGGCCAAAATGCTGATGGGATGGTACTTCTTATTGGATTCGAAGATTATTTGGGCTCAATGGCCCATAGGGTTGACATGGGGACCTTGGTTGATTATTATATTTTCAACTCTTGAAAACGTTTTTAGGCATTTAATAGGTTTAGTTAATAAGCCTTAAGTAGTGTTTTTGTGATTAGCTTTTAATTAACTTTTATTATGTTTAATAAATATGTTTAGTTAGTGTGGCTTTTAAGTTTGTAACCACCGGTTGTTATAGGCTTTAAATAGTCATTTGATTCCTTATTTGAAATAATCAAAAAATTCATAAAACCCTTCGTGTTCATTCAAATTATTGCCATAATTCACATTTTATCATCTTTTGGACGTGCTTCTTAAGTTGATCGCATTCAAACTAATAGGTCTTAGTTTGCTTTCAGATTTACAAACTATAAGTCTAGTTTGTTTATCAAATCTATCTTTTTATTTACTTGTTCATGTTTATCACATTTCCAAAATTGTTACAAATATAACCTATTACAATCAGGGGCGGAGCTAGGATTTTGGAATGACGGGGGCAAGATAAGCTTCTTGATTTTTTGTTAGGAAAGAACCCGTCTAGTTTGTGTGCAATTTTTTGAGTTTATTCACTAAATATTCATTCATAATATTGCATAAAGTAATAAAAGCTAAACAAACAGCACAAGAATGAAGTAAACAAATATTTATAAATCAATAGAAGAGTAACCACCAAACACTTTACGTATGACGGATCGAATCTTTATAAACTTAGGTTAAATATACAAGTAAAAATAATTAACAAATATTTAAAAATAATGCTAAGGCTATTCATATATGCCTACATCTAAGTGCAGTTAATAATGAATGACAATTGAATGTTAGTAAAACACATCGTTTAGCAACACCACGTGAAGGCTAAGGATAAGGCTATTCCTATATGCCTATATCTAAGTGTAGAAAATTAAGAACAAAAAATAAAAAATAAAGTTTATAAAAGGACAATCTAATACTTTAGTGGCATACCTGCATTATGAATGCTTGGGATATCGGAGATTGAGAGCGATGCTATTGAGACTTGACTCTTGAGAGAATAAGCCGCAAAGCAGAGGCGGACGGTGGTCGACAATGGCAGAATGGCGACCGACAAGGCAGGAGAGGACAAGATCTGAAAGATTTAGGGATCATATTAAAGCACGTAGGGATCTTCGAGAGGTTGAGCGGTGGAGGAGATGCAAAAAGGGTGAATCTCATACAGTGAAATCAAAGACGTGAATCACGGTACCGACAATCAAACACGATTTGTGGCAATTTTCTCTAGGTTATGATTTTTTAAATAGATTTATGAAGTTGTATACTTTGTTATGATTTAATTTCTTTAATTATTTTGATGATTTTTTAGACTTCTTGGCTACGATTTTGAATTTTTGTGATAGATTTAAGAGTTTATAATATATTAGGTTTGATTTTCTTTAACAAATTCTCTAAATAAAAATAAAATTTATCAGTTTTTCTATTATTATGGACTCATCTTCAAAAACTACTGGTTTCCTCTTTCTTTTTTCTAATTGAAGCGGGCATAAAAGGAAGGGGGGGGGGGGATGAACACCCTCATGCCCCTGTAGTGGCTTTGCCACTGATTACAATCTCATTTGCATTGTTTCTTCTTTGTTTGTTATTATTATGGTGCAATCATAAACACCTCCCATATTCGTATCTTAATACGAATATGGAACTTGATACCACACATGATATATATATATATATATATATATATATATATATATATATATATATATATATATATATATAGAGAGAGAGAGAGAGAGAGCTAGGTTCAAATGTTTTAACTAAGTATTATGTTATTGTATGCATAAATGAGGGCCAATCAAAATTAAATAAAAAAATAAATAATTAAATAAATAAATAAGGGTAAATTAGTAATTTGCTTAATAAATTCCAAAAATAATCCCTATAATCATGGTATCTCTCCAGTGTAAATCTCGTTCTCTTCTTTATCTAAAAACCGATTATAAAAACCCTAAATTGAACAAATCGATACCATCGACCCTTCATCGTCTTCTTCATAGATCGAGAG